AGAGCAGTACTAAATCTCTTGAGAAGGGAAGTTTCAGAGCATGGGCGTCATTTACAGCAGTATTTCAACCTGTTTGTAATGTATGCCAATTTAGGTAAGAATTTAAGTTTTTCAGAATTCTGTTTTGATGTGTCATATTAAATTGTGAAGTTACTTAGGTCAAGGGATGAAATATAATCTGATCTGAAATAGAAACAATTTCCTATAAAACCTGTTGTGAATTTCATCTGAACATGGCACTTTCACCTTTTACTTTAATTATGCCTGTGTCTTTGTAGTAGGCACACGTCAGAATCTGTGTCTTGATTTTTTTCTTTTTAATCTTCTAATGATGGTGCCAAATCTGGCTGCTTATTGAAAATACAGTTTTTAGGCCTCTTCTCACACTGATTGAATCAGCATTCCCAAAGCTAATGCCAGGGAATCCATTTTCAAAGGTCCCCAGATGATTGTGATACTCACCAAATTTAGATAAAGGACTTAGTCTGTACATACATTTTTTGTTGAAGTAAATTGCAATTATGGATAATAAAAATATTTACTTAAAATATTAATTTAGGAGCTTGGTGCAATGGCTTATGTCTGTACTCTCAACACTTTGGGAAGCCAAGGCAGGAGGATTGCTTGAGCCCAGGAGTTCAAGATGAAACTAGGCACTATAGGGAGACCCTATTTCTACAAAATAAAAATTAAAAATTAGCTGGGTGTCAGTAGGCGGAGGTTGCAGTGAGCCGAGATCGTGCCACTGCACTCCAGGGCTTGGGCAACAAACCAAGACTCCGTCAAAAAAAAAAAAAAAAAAGTTGGGTGTGGTGGTGTATGCCTATACTCCTAGCTACTTGGGAGGCTGAGGTGGGGGGATCACTTGAGCTAAGGAGGTCAAGGCTTCAGTGAGTCGTGATTGTACCACCGCACGCCAGCCTGAGCAACAGTATGAGACCCTGTCTCCAAAAAGCAAACAAACCAAAAAGCTGTATATCCAAAATGAAGTTCTCTGTCTAAGCATTCCTGTCATTTCAGGTTTTTTTCTGTGACCTTACTTAATCACCATTGGATCCATGGTTCTTTTAACATAAGGGAGATGCTACTTTTCATTTGTCTCTTTAGTTTGTCTTCTTTTCCTTTACCTTTTCCATGCTGCAAATATTTGGGTATTTGTAGATGAGGAAGAAGAGAATATTTATTACACAGATAAGCGTAAGTGGAATCTGTATTTCAAACTTAAAAATGCAAAATTTAGACATTCAGAAAAATCCCCACGTGTTCAACTCTTCTTCTAGATAATTGCCTGTTCACAAAGCACACATCATTGTTCCATAATGTAAACTACTGTAAAATTTTCCTGCTGGAAACAAATACTGTAGAGTCTGTAAACCTTAATATTAAATCCTTAAGGGTCAGATATGTATTGGGATTGAGAATTATTTGGATTTAAGAAAAGCAAGGCAATGCGTATATCAACATCCCTATAGTAGGGTCTGAGACAACAACTTACAATTGAACACAAATTAATATTTCTACAGTAAGACGTGAATATTTATAGCGAAGGGAGAAATGAAGACTGTAAGTAGCCTTTAGTCAGTTCTGGCTAGGTTATCCTGCCAAACACATTTTGACACCAACTTAGTGAAAAACTTTGTTGGCCTGGGCACGGTGGCACACGCCTGTAATCCTAGCACTTTGGGAGGCTGAGGCGGGTGGGTCACGAGGTCAGGAGTTTGAGACCAGCCTGGCCAACATGGTGAAACCCTGTCTCTACTAAAAATACAAAAATTAGCCAGCCGTGGTGGCATGCGCCAGTAGTTCCAGTACTCAGGAGGCTGAAGCAGGAGAATTGCTTGAACCTGGGAGGCCGAGGTTGCAGTAAGCTGAGACCATGCCACTGTACTTCAACCTGTGCAACAGAGGAAGACTGCATCTAAAAAAAAAAAAAAAGCTTTGGGCATCTTAGGATTTTAGATAAGAGGTTATGGACCTGTTTTTATTATGTTTCTGGGAATATGGCAATAAATAAGACTGCCTAATGCGATGTAGAAGCAAATAAAAATGTAGTTGCCATAAAATAAGTTAATGGCTGTAATAGGGAAAATGCAAAGTGCATCATGGGGGTGTGGTACCTGAAGGGATTTGGGAAGTACAGAAGAGAAGACTTAGTGGGGAATATGGTGTGGGAATTGATTAGTTGAGCTTTTCATCTAGAGTGAACAGCAGATGCAAAGACTTGGGATAAACTTGCTGTGGCTTAATGGATGGAATGAAAGTTGTCTAGTCTGACCAGAATTGATATAAGATGAGAATGGCAGGAGTGCTGAGCAGGAGTTTCTGATCATGTGGTTCTAACAGGCCTTGTGAGAGAGGCTGAGGCACTGGATGAGCCATCGTAGAGTTTTGAACAGATAATACCATCTAGAAAGAGCACCGTGGCTACATTGTGGAATGGATTGCAATGGAGTAAGATCCCAGAGAGTGTTAAAATGATCTGTAGACATAAGATCATTGTGGCCTTTATTGGAACTGGCAGTAAGGAAGATACAAGTGGACAGATAGATATATGTGGTGCTTTTTATAAGAAGTGGAATCAGTTAATTTGGTGATTGGATATTCACAGAAGGAGGGGACAGGGAAGAGATGTGAAGAATTATGCCCAGGATTCTAACTTGAACAACTGTGAATGGATAGTGGTACCATTTAATAAGGGGAAACACAGGAGGAGAAACATGTATGTATGGAAAGAAAGGGGTGAGTTCAGTTTGGGTAGATTGAGTTTGCGCCTATCTGACACCCAAATGGAGATACATAGTAGAAAAGTAAGATTTTTGTCTTGAAATGTTTTTGAGTCATCTGAATGAAAGTATCTAGAACTTTAAAGCCATGAAAGTGGGCTAGATCATCCAGGAAAATCGGTGTGAAAAGATAGCCTGGCATGGGAACTTGGAGAAACATCAGTTTTTAAAGAGACAGGAGGAGTCGCAAATAAGAACAAGAAGAGGTAGAAAGAAAATTAGGAATCTAGGGAGGAGGAAGTGATTATGGTTTGAGAACTGCTCCGTAGCTTATTACAGTGAAGAGGGGCCAAAACCAAATCTGCATAGGTTGAGGAATAGAAAATGGGAAAGTAGGCCAACCAAATGTAGGTATCTTTTTCAAGAAGTTTGGCTGTGGAGGAAAGAAGAGAGGCAGGCAACTTTAAAAAGAATTCTTGTTTCTCATTTCATATAGTTGTTTTGTTGTTTTCACCCTCCCTACAAATGAGGGTTGCAGTCTTGATTAGTCCCTTTAGACTCTCCAGGCCAAAGAAAGTGTTCATCTTCCCGCTGGGCGCGGTGGCTCATGCCTGTAATCCCAGCACTTTGGGAGGTGGAAGCAGATAGATCATGAGGTCAAGAGATTAAGATCATCCTGGCCAACATGGTGAAACCCCATTTCTACTAAAAATACAAAACCCCATCTCTACTAAAAATATAAAAATTAGCTGGACTTGTGATGTCACATGCCTATAGTCCCAGCTACTCGGGAGGCTGAGGCAGGAGAATTGCTTGTACTCGGGGGCAGAGGTTGCAGTGAACTGAGATCACACCATTGCACTCTAGCCTGGTAACAGAGGGAGACTCCATCTCAAAAAGAAGAAAGAAATTGTTCATCTAACTTAATAGTGGGCTGGTATGATTGAAATGTCATAGTCGTGGTCACTGTCACTGTTTAACAGTGTTAATACTTATACTCAATGGGTTTTCTTTTCTAATAAAACAGTTCTCTGAATACTAAGTAAAAGTTATGAAATTAAAAATCAAAACTTTTCTGATCATAAAATTATAGACAATATATTTTGTATAACTACTTGTTTTATTCATGAAGCCATTGCCATCTTAATTTTTTCCTCATATATATCTCCCTCTCTTCTCGCCCTCACTCCTTTGTTGTAGGTGTGGCAGAGAAGACACAGCTTCTGAAATTGAGTGTACCTGCTACCTTTATGCTTGTGTCTTTAGATGAAGGTCCAGGTCCTCCAATCAAA